CCCAAAATGTTGGTTAACGTGTCAGACTCATCAAACGCTGATACTTACATTATGGTCAGCGCTTGCAAGATCCACTGTCAATAATGGTACAGCATCCGTCTTCAGGATTAGCTTCCTGGCAAGACCTATCGAATGTTCTCCCCAACTGATAAAGCAACTTCACTCGAAATGTGCACTGCACACGCGTGACCATATCTTAATTTTTGGTGCAGTCTGTCCACCCAAAATGATAAGCAGCCACTGCTGTCGGATGTCTTCATTCTTCGTAAAATAGTGTACGGTTATTTTTACACTGTGGCATCCAGTCACAACACATTGTGCTTTTGCTGGCATGCTGGTAAGTAGCTTTCGACCTAACAGTCAAACCACAGATGAAAGGTTACCAGTATCTATGGTCATACGTTCTGCTTGAGCTTTACGGTTTGTAAACAAAGCCAAAGAAAGGTGTAGGCCCACATGTGATGACGGTTTTAAAGCGGTACATATTTAAATTAGTTAAGATGATAAGAGGCTACCATTGGTGTATTACATTTTCTGTCTTTATTGCATAAAGCTGGAAGTAAATCCTTGGTAATGCCTGCCTCCTGAATCAAATTGTGGGGAGGGGACCAGTAACTTTATGATCAAACTTGAGCAATGTACCAGTTACAGTCAATTTTCATACTTGGGTCACACTACTTTGAACTGGTTTCAGCCAAATATCATCCAATTTGATGAAAAACATGATTTTCACTGTTCAGGACCTTTAATGGACTCTCCTTTGAGTCTGTTAACATCGAGCAAGAACAGAGAGAAGCCCTCAAAGCCAAATCAAACCATCAGTGAACAGGGCCCTCTTGTAGGGAAAACAGAGCAGCGAGGAGAGAGGCGAGTACATGTTATCTATAAACTTCAAATGAGTTTTGAAGAGGGGGCAGCTTAGTTAGAAAACACTTCAGTTCTCATTGTCTCTTATTTTGAACCATTTGGAGCCCTTTGAGCTGAGTTCAATTTTTTTGTTTAGTAAAGTATCGTTAATAAAGCACTTTGTCTCTTGAAATAGAATCCAGATGAATATGTTTTGCTCGGCCCCTCTCATCCGAGGCTGGCTGATAGGGTTTTGGAAGCAACCTTGGTGCGATTGAGGTTTATCTACAAATCTGCACTTACTGACTTTGCATAAAGTGCAAAAGCATGCTGATAAATTGTGTCTTTGGGAGGTATTCTCAGCTTTTAGGGCATTAATTGACCTCCAAACATATTCAGAAATATGTTAATTTATTACAGGTCAGTGTGTTTAGGCAGTGTATGTAAAAATTAGCATGATGATATCTGGCTAGATGAAATGTTTAGCACTCTATAAGTAGGGCCAGGAGTAAAATCACATCTATTCATCACCGAGTTCAAATACTATTTATTGTATTTCAATTACTTTCGCATACATTTCGAAGTGAGTATTTGAATATTTTGTCTTTGAAAATACAAGTAGTTGAATATTGGAATGTATTTGGAAATACACTTGGAAAATATTGGCATGTATTTGAAAATACTAAAATACAAAGAAAATATGTATTTAAAATACAAATGCTTAAATACGCACGTATTTGAACCCAGGTCTGACATTGAATAAATTCCCATTCAAGTCTTGTGTTGCACCACTACACTCGGTGCCCTGCGTGAGGATATCTGTGTCCCAAATGACACCCTATTCCCTATATAGTGCACTTCAGGGTACCATTTGGTACACACACAATTATTCTTTAATTATCCACACACTGGTCACCAAATGTAGTAAAATCACAACCAAGATAAAAGACGAGATGAAACCTCCTGAATGACCGACTCCCACATGCATAATCTTTTACCAGGACATGTTTATTTACAGCTGATAAAATGACAGGAGGTTTGTTACAGGGTGTTCCACAGGTTACGGCCACGTCGACAGTTTCCACCCCCTGTGTAAGCACACTCAGTCTGGGGTGTCCAGAGGGGGACAAGAGGGGGGACACAATACACGGAGCTAGAAACACACCAGTACTCTCTATGGAGACAGACTGAGACAGAGTCCGAGGGGGAGAGATGTGGGAGGAGGGGGAGGAGGGAAGGGGGGAATTGACTCATATTCAGATATAAAATAACATGTACAAATCTCATGGCCATCAGGCACTGTGCTCCCTATTTACAGTTGTTTTAACAGGCTACAGAGCAACTCCAGGACTGCAGGTACAGTTTACACATGTGTTTGGGGGGAGAAAACAAAGCCAGTTTTATGGGGTAAAACAAATGGGGCATGGGAAACAGGGGTAGAGGGGATTCTCAGACACACATGCAGAGCGCTCCAGCCAGAGAATTGATGACTGCGATAAACATGATAATCCGTTTTTAAATTCAGTGTAAGACACACACAGCACACGCAAGCAGCACACATGGACTTATACTTACATGTACAGTACATGCACAGGCACGCACACACACGTAGTGTCACACACATATTTCAGTGGTCAAATACTGTACGCTGCCTGTGCTAATACCCTAGTTACCCTAGCAGAGCCAACTGTCAGAGTCCAGCTAGCCCTCAAGCAGTGGCAAATACTAAATTTCCCAGCATTCACAGCGCCACTGTATAATTAACGACAGGGTCATTACAAACTCATGGGCAGAACGACGGTGTCCATCACGTCGACTCTGCGAGGAACAGTCCAGTCACCAAAGATCATGTGCGCCGCTCCATCGGCTAATAGCAAACATGCCTCCTATTAAATTTTAATTTAATGATTTACACTGTTGCCACTGCAGCAAGGGACCAGGGGGACAATGGGCCGTGGGAAAACCAAGGCATGCTATTATCTTAATTACAGCCTCCATTTAAATGCTGTGAAGTAGTCTAAGGGCCCATGTGTGTGTGTGTTTTCTTGAGGGTAAAGTGATGAATAATAAAGACCACTGTTACGTCGTCACTGAACTGTCGGACCAGAAATAAAATAAGCATTTTTTCAGCTGGAGAGCATTCACACAAGAAAGCCTGTTTTTGCTTTTGAAAAAAGACACATCTTTTCCAGGTCTATTTACATAAGAGCTTTGTAAAATATCTTTTTTTCTTTACCTATTTACATGACAACATCAGAGACAGAAAATGAACCGAAAAAAAGTGATTGGTTTTTTATAATTAATATTGGCATTAAATTAAAATCAACTATAAATTAAGTGTATCTAAAAAAGATGACTGAAATACTGTATGTCCGTGTGTTGGAGTCCAATCTTTAGCAGTTGAGAACAGAACAATTTGACATTCATTGGTTTTCGCCTTTAGCCAATAGAATGATGGCACAACTTTCAAATGAAACAAACAATATCGGGTCTTTTTCTTTTTATAGACTACTTTTTTTCCACTAACTACTCACACAACTGTATGACAACCACATTATTTTCACATTTCAATTTCACGTTCATGCCCGATATATTTTTTTTTTGCTGATGAACAGCAAAAGAAAAGAAGAAAAAATACATTCAATGTACAGCAGAGTAACCAGGAAAGAACACAAAATGGTCTCTGTTGTTTATTGTGTTTTGAAGTGCGAGATAACAAGCGCTATAACCTGGTTATGGATACACCATGAAGACGGTTAACAAATACACAGGAAACGTTACCCATAACTCTTAAGGGCCTGGTACAGATGAATTTCCTGCCAAAAAAACAGTAATCTGTTTTTGACATTATTGGTCATGGCATCACCATCAAAACCAGTGCTAAAACGCAACCTTGCACAATCCCTACAATGAAGCCAGCTCATTGGTCAACAGTGGCAGGTGTAACTATGTTCATATTCTGTTCAAAATATTTTCAATTTCCTGGCTAACTTCCTGACCACACAGACCATGTGTGCTGACCATGTGGTCCTCCCAGATGTAACCACCTAGAACCATAATGGATATTGGGAGATTCTGCCTCGACTGGCTAACAAATAGATGTTATCATCAAAGAGATTTTTTTCCTGTCATCCTGTCACCTTATGGAAATACATGGTACACTAGTAAAATAATAGAGACAGACGGTCTGCACAGTCAACGCAAAGGATTTTGATCAAATACGCTAAATATATTTACACAAAACTAGCTCTCACGCTCATAACAGCAGATGCACGCTTCAGTGGAAGCTCTCATTCAGACACACCAAGACAAGTATCACTACAATGTGCAAAGGTACCTTTACAGTACCTGTTAATTTTTTTATCTTCTTTAAAACAAAAACAAAACAAAAAATGGTGGCATAACCGATGAGCAAGCTCGACATTCTCTGAGCCAGAAGCTCAAAGAGGAGTGGGCATACTCAGGCATACAGGGGCGGATGTAGCATAGCACACAAGCATGAGACAGGACAGCCCAGACATCACATCTTAGACCAGAGCCGCAATAGAATACAGACGAGACTGCTGCAATGAGGGTAGGGTAGCTTACTCTGTAAATGCTACTGTAGGAGATATTTTTACCAGGCACAGCAGACTTGAGTGGGAGTCGATAGTGGTGGTACTTATCCTTAAGACAGAGAGCTTTGATGTGTGTGTGTTCGTGTGTGTATGTATGTATGTGTGTAGGAGCGGGTGGGTTTTGCTAATGGGGATTGAATAAGAGGGGGAAGGAAAATAAATAAAAGCAACGGATAAGCAACGGCCAAGGCGTAAAAAAACAACATCGAAACCAAAGTCAGAGGAAATAAACGAAACAATATTACAATCACTGATCAACACGAAGTGTCTTCGACTGGAGCCATCTTGGATAGAAACAACAACATTGATTAATCACATAAAAACGCTTGTTGTTGGGGTCTTCCTCTCTCTTTCTCTCTGGCTTGCTCTCTCTTATTGGTATTTACACACACTTTTCTTTTTCTCTGGGCCCTTATGGACATATAAGAGATATCATCATATTTTTTTCGGTGTCTTTTTTTTTCTGGGTTTTGGCCTCAGGGTAGGACGCTCCGAAATGTTCTTGTTTGCAGCGAGGGGCGAGAGGGCACACACGTTTTATGCTTTACTGACGTCCTGCTTTGTGTGGATGCTGTTGTCGCTGTGCACTTTGATCTCGATCATGTCGGGCTTGAGCGTCTCCTTCCCGTTCTCCTCCTTCAGCGGTAGCTTCCTGTGGGAGAGAGACAAAGGAGACAGACACATCTGAGAGAGAGAGACCTCAGAGGAAAGGGTTCATTATAACTACACATTTCACTCAACCCATGTCTCACTCATGACCATAGCTGTTAATTGTTAATTACGGTAACAGTAAACATTTTTACATTTTAGTCATTTAGCAGACGCTCTTATCCAGAGCGACTTACAGTTAGTGAGTGCATACATTTTCATACTGTACAGAGAAGACACACATAAACAATCAGTATATAGAAATGTGGAATGTGAAAGGACTTAATAATAACTCTGTGAAACGTATACATTTTGATATGACATTTAGATAATGCATTTACATACATGCATACAGAGCATGCATCTTTATTGTAGAACTATAAGAGGTGTGATGAGTGGTGGTTTCCCATGGCAGCATAGAGTGAGACGATGGAGAATGATGCATCCATAACATAATTGACGGTCCCCTACTGCTACTCAATGCACGTAATACATTAAAAGTTAACACTACCTGACTGACTGTCTAATTTAATACATTTACTTGATCAATATATTAAAATAGTGGTTTATATAGTCAACAGTTTCAACAGCCCTCAATTCACTCACTGAACATACATAAAAAATACACAAACAAAAAATTATGTAACAAAAACAATCCTTAATCTTTGATCATAACGTTGAAAATACAACAAAGAACAATCTACACCAGATTCACTTACAGTACGCATACAAGCTCAGTCGATTAAAGACAACACTTCACTGACTGAGCACGGTTGTGGCCTGACTTCGCCATACTCTTTCATACTAAAGCACATTTCCACTACTATATGTCCAGTCCACTACTACAACCAATAACCATGTCGATAAATTATATCAGTTAAGTGTGTGCAAGGGTAACAGCATAAGCCAAGACCTGCAAAACAGACTAAAACATCAACTCATTATGCTTCCTGTCAACTTCAGCTAAAGCGCTGTGCCCTTTACTACTAATAGGCTGCATATTTGGGTAAGAGTGGGGTTACATTATGCTGTGGTTAGACGAGGGACACAAAAAACGTCATACCAGTCAGCATAGCTGGACAAGAAAGCAAGAAAGAGGGTGACGGCAAAAGCAAGCCAGCATGACGGTATGCGTTGCTATGGTGATTTCAGTAAACAATCAGTGCAAATCTACATCCGGTAGAAAACAAAGCTAATGCAAAAGTTTAAATATTTCAACTCTGGCGGCAAGTCCCTTCTACCGTGGCAGCTGACGGCATTCACCGCCAGCATCAACGGCATTTAACGTCGTGCTGTCATTGAAAACAATGACATCCGGTTTGCTGTCTACTATCTACCTCGTACCATCTAAACGCAGCATTAGGGTGGACAGGGCCTTAGAACCCTAGTGGTTCTGGTTTCTTACTCTGGCTCTGTGAGAGGTGTAGTCTCGTTGGGTTCGTGCACTGGGCTCCCATCGTGGTTAGTTATTCTCTCCTCTTCCGTTCTCATCTCAACGATAGGATCCTTGGACCCATCGCCCCTATGCATAAACACACACAGGCATGAGCATGCACGTGCGTGCACACACAGTTGCACACACACACACACAAACTTCAGCAAATCCATTTGTGACACAATGCAGACAGAAGCAGTGCTTTCCTGTTCTCGTCTCTCCTTCTCTTCTATGATATCTCCAGCGGCCATGACTCCGCGCAGCCCTGTATACTTAACCCTCACACAGAAGGCTGAGGAGATATCTCAGTGTGCCTGCCTGTAATCTAACAGAGCCTCAAAGTGACACTAAAGCACAGTGGGGAAGCCTCTCGTTCGCTCGCTTGCTCTTCCTTCCGACAATGTTAATCGCGCCAATAAGGCCATCCACACCAGTGCTTTGGGGCTTGCTGACAATCCAAAGGGATTGCATTGGGCTGAGTCGGGGAACCTGGCTGGCCCTGGGTTCAACCACTTCCTATCTCAGGGGGTTTGGGTGTTAAGCTCCACAGTATGTTAGTAGTGACTCTGAGGGGACCGATGTCCTATAATAAGCCTGAAAAGTCCATAATGCCAGGCATACACTACACAATTTTTTTGGGCCACGAATTCCCCATCCCAGACCAATTTCCATGATCGGGGTGAAATCCTATGAACTTGGGCTAGGATCAGTACGTTGGGACTCGCGTAGTTTGAAGGAGTCAAGGACACACAGATGATGGCTGTTCCATTCTCCAGACCCCTGTCGGTTGTCTGAGAATTTTTGGACATTTTGGTCGTGCATCTTGTAGTATGAGCAGTGCTACAACGCGATTGGGCAAGGATTGCTGACAATAGCCAATGAGCACTCAGCATGTGAGACCAAAACAATGATGGCGAAGAGGAAAGCAACAACAACACACACCGTGTGGAATGAGGTGATGGAAGATAGATTGGTGGAGCTGTGGAGAGAACGCAATGCCTTTTCAATGGGCAAGTTCATTTTACATGGCCTGGTGACCCGGATGAGCAGAGTTTGCTCATTTTAGTGGTCCTTAAGTGAAATCTCCACCCACCCGGGGCACCAATATCACATCTGCATCCTACCATGACAAAAACCAAAAAGATTATTTCATATTATCATTATTATTTAATATTAAGTCCATATTCTGCTCTTCTGTCTCTTTAAAAAAAAAATGTCTGCACATAATAATGTGCACACTAATAAACCAGCTCACTGTTTGCGTGTCGGCAGTTTTTTCCTACGACAACCGAGAAACTCAGAGCAAGATCAACTAGGGAATCATCATGTAATGTGAGCAACCTGGGGTTGAGGATGGACAGAATGAAATATTTGAGACAAGGAAATCGGCGCACGTCCAAGTTGTTAAGATTTTAGAAGTCGTGTTGTGTATGCCCAGCATAAGGTTCAGTCCTCAAACAGTCTGAGACGGCCGAATATAAACGTGTAAAGACAATTGACAAGTACCATCCACATTAAAGCAGCTTGCGGCCCGCATTTGGCTTACGGGCCTGTAGTTTGAGACCCCTGGTTTAAACACAAGAGAGAAACGAGTCCAAGTCCTCTAAACAGCATGTAGGAAACAAATATAAACCATGCTCTTTATGAAGCAAAAGTGCAGTGCTCAAGTCCCATGAATGAACCAGACCTTAAATATCCTATTATAACCTATAATATAAGACAACACTCCTAAGCCAAAGATTATTCAATTACTATTTCTTCCAAGATGTAGAACTAATCTTACAAACCTAAAAAAACATGGTCAGTTACTTTGCCACTATATTTGCCACTTAGTGAAAAGTGTACAGTGCTTTAAATGCTAAACAATAATTAAGTGTAGGAGATTTATTGCACATTTATCTCGGTAGAAGACATACAGTGGGGAAAAAAAGTATTTAGTCAGCCACCAATTGTGCAAGTTCTCCCACTTAAAAAGATGAGAGAGGCCTGTAATTTTCATCATAGGTACACGTCAACTATGACAGACAAATGAAAAAAATAAATCCAGAGAATCACATTGTAGGATTTTTTATGAATTTATTTGCAAATTATGGTGGAAAATAAGTATTTGGTCAATAACAAAAGTTTCTCAATACTTTGTTATATACCCTTTGTTGGCAATGACACAGGTCAAACGTTTTCTGTAAGTCTTCACAAGGTTTTCACACACTGTTTCTGGTATTTTGGCCCATTCCTCCATGCAGATCTCCTCTAGAGCAGTGATGTTTTGGGGCTGTCGCTGGGCAACACAGACTTTCAACTCCCTCCAAAGATTTTCTATAGGGTTGAGATCTGGAGACTGGCTAGGCCACTCCAGGACCTTGAAATGCTTCTTACGAAGCCACTCCTTCGTTGCCCGTCGGTGTGTTTGGGATCATTGTCATGCTGAAAGACCCAGCCACGTTTCATCTTCAATGCCCTTGCTGATGGAAGGAGGTTTTCACTCAAAATCTCACGATACATGGCCCCATTCATTCTTTCCTTTACACGGATCAGTCGTCCTGGTCCCTTTGCAGAAAAACAGCCCCAAAGCATGATGTTTCCACCCCCATGCTTCACAGTAGGTATGGTGTTCTTTGGATGCAACTCAGCATTCTTTGTCCTCCAAACACGACGAGTTGAGTTTTTACCAAAAAGTTATATTTTGGTTTCATCTGACCATATGACATTCTCCCAATCCTCTTCTGGATCATCCAAATGCACTCTAGCAAACTTCAGACGGGCCTGGACATGTACTGGCTTAAGCAGGAGGACACATCTGGCACTGCAGGATTTGAGTCCCTGGCGGCGTAGTGTGTTACTGATGGTAGGCTTTGTTACTTTGGTCCCAGCTCTCTGCAGGTCATTCACTAGGTCCCCCCGTGTGGTTCTGGGATTTTTGCTCACCGTTCTTGTGATCATTTTGACCCCACGGGGTGAGATCTTGCGTGGAGCCCCAGATCGAGGGAGATTATCAGTGGTCTTGTATGTCTTCCATTTCCTAATAATTGCTCCCACAGTTGATTTCTTCAAACCAAGCTGCTTACCTATTGCAGATTCAGTCTTCCCAGCCTGGTGCAGGTCTACAATTTTGTTTCTGGTGTCCTTTGACAGCTCTTTGGTCTTGGCCATAGTGGAGTTTGGAGTGTGACTGTTTGAGGTTGTGGACAGGTGTCTTTTATACTGATAACAAGTTCAAACAGGTGCCATTAATACAGGTAACGAGTGGAGGACAGAGGAGCCTCTTAAAGAAGAAGTTACAGGTCTGTGACCTATGATGAAAATTACAGGCCTCTCTCATCTTTTTAAGTGGGAGAACTTGCACAATTGGTGGCTGACTAAATACTTTTTTCCCCCACTGTAAATGGGTTAATCAATACTGTTCGGTGTTGTACATAAACGAACTGGAACATTATTCTGTGTAATTTATTCCATCCTAATGTTATTCATAGTAATATTATGTCCCCAAATGCATTTTTCTATATTTGGACGTGTGTTAATTTGTTTTTATAATGTTGTGCTTGTTTATTTAGCTTTTTAAGCACTTAGAGATGTTTTATTGTACTGAAAAGCACTATATAAGCTAAATAAATTATGATTATGAATTATTTCTGTTTCTATAGAAACACAATGTGAATCTCTTAAAAGGACACAAACCGTTTATAAACACCTTTTCCACATAAGCACGTCCTTGCTCAATACAGAATTATTATAATAATTATGGCAGGCAAAACCACATCAAATATGTAACTAAATAATTAATATTATACATTGCTAATGCACATTTATAGGCTTAGTCACCTAAAAATGCTGAAAGCATTCATTCCTGAAATCAATGAATAGTTAATTAGCCAGTGAATTAAAGTTTAAGTTTAATTTAATCAAATTATTTAGTGATAATGTGATTCTTTGGGAAATATAAAGTGGGCAGCTATTGTTCAACACCCCTGCAGATCTGAGACAATTGAGTTGGTGTAAGCAGTAGCTCCAGCTAGTTTATTTTATTGTGCTTACACCCAGTCTAATCAGATCTAGCGAGGCTGCAAGGAAGGGAACAACTTTTTGGAATAAGATGCTGCCCAAAGCAAACTGGTAAAACACGCTGTATGTTTCCCGTCATAGACATGACCAGCACAACCATACACGGATTACGTAGCACAACCCTACACGAGTCAACTCCATCAGAATCAAATGTAACTATACATATGGTGTTAACTCTTTCCATTCACCACTTACTGGCATGAGTAGGTGGACCATTTACATGTAAGTGTCTTACATAACTTCTACAATCCTACAGAACATTCAACACATCTCTAAGACTTAGAATCCCATCTTAGCACCACTTAAGCACCGTGATGGACCTGAATTAGCATCTTAAACTTAAAGCATCTCCTACTTTCCATTAATCCAAATCCCTCAGATGTGTAGAAAGGCCTGAGTCAGAGGCAGTCAGCAGTCTCAGCAGGAAGATTTCACCCACCCACCGGCCAGACAGTCACACGCACGCGCGCACGCGCACACACACACACACACACACACACACACACACACACACACACACACACACACACACACACACACACACACACACACACACACACACACAGCAGACTCCATTACACCTCCCTGTGACTCAGCACAATGTCAGTCTAGCTACACGTTGTCTTGTTAGGCTCTTCCCTTCCCATCCCTTGCCTCAAGTGAGAGACAGCACGTAGGCACACTAACAACTCTCCCACTCTATCCATCTTTCTCCCTATATTCAGATCTCCTCTTTATTCCTCTTTCACTCTCGTTCTCCCCAACCCCTATCTCTCGCTCTTTCCATCTCTCCCTATCTCTATCGCTCTTTCACTCTCACTCTACATCCATTCTGCTGTGCTAGAGTCATCAGTCCTATCTTGAATGTATTAATTATTCATGCTTTTGTCAAATTAAACTCCAGTTCCATGGGAATGAAAGCGGAGGTAAATAGTAATAGCTGTGGTTTTGTAATGGCATGCTCAGTGAAGCCTGAACACAGATAAGCACACACTGTACCTTGATTTAGACACTCTGAACAAACACATAGCCTTGTATTCCCCCTCACTCACACATACAGATTTGTCCGCGTACACTACCAGTCAAAAGTTTGGACACACCTACTCATTCAAGGATTTTTCTTTATTTTTACATTGTAGAATAATACTGAAGACATCAAAACAAAGAAATAACACATATGGAATCATGTAGTAACCAAAAAAGTGTTAAACAAATCAAAAAATATTTTATATTTGAGATTCTTCAAATAGCCACCCTTTGCCTTGATGACAGCTTTGCACACTCTTGGCATTCTCTCAACCAGCTTCATGAGGTAGTCACCTGGAGTGCATTTCAATTAACAGGTGTGCCTTGTTAAAAGGTAATCAGTTGTGTTGTGACAAGGTAGGGTGGGTATACAGAAGATAGCCCTATTTGGTAAAAGACCAAGTCCATATTATGGCAAGAACAGCTCAAGTAAGCAAAGAGAAATGACAGTCCGTCATTACTTTAAGACATGAAGGTCAGTCAATACGGAACATTTCAAGAACTTTGAAAGTTTCTTCAAGTGCAGTCGCAAAAACCATCACGTGCTATGATGAAACTGGCTCTCATGAGGACCGTCACAGGAATGGAAGACCCAGAGTTACCTCTGCTGCAGAGGATAAGTTCATTAGAGTTACCAGTCTCAGAAATTGCAGCCCAAATCAATGCTTCACAGAGTTCAAGTCAGACACATCTCAACATCAACTGTTCAGAGTGGACTGTGTGAATCAGGCCTTCATGGTCGAATTGCTGCAAAGAAACCACTACTAAAGGACACCAATAAGAAGAAGAGACCTGCTTGTGCCAAGAAACACAAGCAATGGACATTAGACTGGTGGAAATCTGTCTGATGAGGCCAAATTAGATTTTTGGTTCCAACCGCCGTGTCTTTGTGAGACGCAGAGTAGGTGAACGGATGATCTACGCATGTGTGGTTCCCACCGTGAAGCATGGAGGAGGAGGTGTGATGGTGTGGGGGTGCTTTGCTGGTGACACTGTCTGTGATTTATTTAGACTTCAAGGCACACTTAACCAGCATGGCTACCACAGCATTCTGCAGCGATACGCCATCCTATCTGGTTTAGTGGGACTATCATTTGTTTTTCAACCGGACAATGACCCTTCACACCTCCAGGCTGTGTAAGGGCTATTTCACCAAGAAGGAGAGTGATGGAGTGTTGCATCAGATGACCTGGCCTCCACAATCACCCGACCTCAACCCAATTGAGATGGTTTGGGATGAGTTGGAACGCAGAGTGAAGGATAAGCAGCCAACAAGTGCTCAGCATATGTGGGAACTCCTTCAAGACTATTGGAAAAGCATTCCTCATGAAGCTGGTTGAGAGAATGCCAAGAGCGTGCAAAGCTGTCATCAAGGCAAAGGGTGGCTACTTTGAAGAATCTCAAATATAGTTTGATTTGTTTATTACCTTTTTGGTTACTACATGATTCCATATATGTAATTTCATAGTTTTGATGTCGTCACTATTATTCTACAATATAGAAAATAGTAAAAATAAAGAAAAACCCTTGAATGAGTAGGTGTGTCCAAACTTTTGACTGGTACTGTATATGTAAAGTTTGGACAGGTGAAAATAAATATGTCTGAAACCAAATGGAGGATTAGCTTTCACCTATCCAATTCTTCCAGATCAGAATGTATGAGGGAAAAGGGAGTAGAAAGAATTGAGATACACTCTGAGTGAGTGAGTGAGTGAGTGAGTGAGGTAGTGAGTGAGTGAGTAAGTGAGTGAGTGAGAGAGTGAGTGAGAAGGTGAACAATAGCTTGCGACTAACTGCCTGACTGACTGACAATGTCACATCACACATTCTATGACACAAGGTCAGTCTTCGCAGTTCAAAGGTCCACTCACAGGTAGGCGGCCTTGCCCTCCTCCATCTCCTTGCTCTTGCCGCTGGTGGCCGTCTTCTTGCTGCAGAGTTTGCGCGTGATGCACATGAGCAGGCCGCACTGGCGCAGGAAGTAGCAGCTCACGTCCACCACCACGAGGACCAGGAGGAGGCCGACCAGGCCCAGGCCCACCACAGGCCCCAGGCCCAGGCCGCTGAACAGGGAGTCTGCTGGATGGAGGCCGGACAGAGAGAGAGTTCTGTCACTCAACGAGTTACAGAGAAAGAGTAAGTGACACATATCATATTAATGTAACCCAGGCCCCCCCACAGGCCCGAGCCCAAGGCCACTGAACATGGAGTCTGCTTGATGGAGGCCAGACAGAGAGAGAGTATTGTCACTCAACGAGTTACATAGGCATCAGACACACATCAAGGTGATATAACCCGGGCTGAGCCACATCACCACTGCCCCCAGGCCCAGGCTGCTGAACATGGAGTCTGCTAAGATGGGAGAAACAGAGAGAGAGCCCTGTGGGAAGCTGCTATAGACCACCAAGTGCTAACAGTCTCAATATGTGTGAAATGCTCGATATTGTATGTGATATCAACAGAGAGGTATATTTTGTGGGTATTTTAAATATTGACTGGCTTTCATCAAGCTGCCCACTCAAGAAAAAACGTCAAACTGTAACCAGAGCCTGCAACCTGGTTCATGTTACCAGTCAACCTACCAGGGTAGTTACAAACAGCACAGGAATAAAATCATCAACATGTATTGATCACATCTTTACTTATGCTGCAGAAATGTGCTTTAAAGCAGTATCCAAATTCATTGGATGTGGAGATCACAATATAGTAGCCATATTTAGGAAAACCAAAGTTCCAAAGGCTGGGACTAATATATCAAATCAAATCAAATCAAATTGTATTGGTCACATGCGCCGAATACAACAGGTGCAGACATTACAGTGAAATGCTTACTTACAGCCCTTAACCAACAGTGCATTTATTTTAAACAAAAAAAGTAAAAATAAAACAACAACAAAAAAAAGTGTTGAGAAAAAAAAGAGCAGAAGTAAAATAAAGTGACAGTAGGGAGGCTATATATACAGGGGGGTACCGTTGCAGAGTCAATGTGCGGGGGCACCGGCTAGTTGAGGTAGTTGAGGTAATATGTACATGTGGGTAGAGTTAAAGTGACTATGCATAAATACTTAACAGAGTAGCAGCAGCGTAAAAAGGATGGGGTGGGGGGGGGCAGTGCAAATAGTCCGGGTAGCCATGATTAGCTGTTCAGGAGTCTTATGGCTTGGGGGTAGAAGCTGTTGAGAAGTCTTTTGGACCTAGACTTGGCACTCCGGTACCGCTTGCCGTGCGGTAGCAGAGAGAACAGTCTATGACTAGGGTGGCTGGAGTCTTTGACAATTTTGAGGGCCTTCCTCTGACACCGCCTGGTATAGAGGTCCTGGATGGCAGGAAGCTTGGCCCCAGTGATGTACTGGGCCGTACGCACTACCCTCTGTAGTGCCTTGCGGTCGGAGGCCAAGCAGTTGCCATACCAGGCGGTGATGCAACCAGTCAGGATGCTCTCGATGGTGCAGCTGTAGAATTTTTTGAGGATCTGAGGACCCATGCCAAATCTTTTTAGTCTCCTGAGGGGGAATAGGCTTTGTCGTGCCCTCTTCACGACTGTCTTGGTGTGTTTGGACCATGATAGTTCGTTGGTGATGTGGACACCAAGGAACTTGAAGCTCTCAACCTGTTCCACTACAGCCCCGTCGATGAGAATGGGGGCGTGCTCAGTCCTCTTTTTTTTTCCTGTAGTCCACAATCATCTCCTTTGTCTTGGTCACGTTGAGGGAGAGGTTGTTGTCCTGGCACCACACGGCCAGATCTCTGACCTCCTCCCTATAGGCTGTCTCATCGTTGTCGGTGATCAGGCCTACCACTGTTGTGTCGTCGGCAAACTTAATGATGGTGTTGGAGTCGTGCCTGGCCATGCAGTCATGGGTGAACAGAGAGTACAGGAGGGGACTGAGCACGCACCCCTGAGGGGCCCCCATGTTGAGGATCAGTGTGGCAGATGTGTTGTTACCTACCCTTACCACCTGGGGGCGGCCCGTCAGGAAGTCCAGGATCCAGTTGCAGAGGGAGGTGTTTAGTCCCAGGATCCTTAGCTTAGTGATGAGCTTAGAGGGCACTATGGTGTTGAATGCTGAGCTGTAGTCAATGAATAGCATTCTCACGTAGGTGTTCCTCTTGTCCAGGTGGGAAAGGGCAGTGTGGAGTGCAATAGAGATTGCATCATCTGTGGATCTGTTGGGGCGGTATGCAAATTGGAGTGGGTCTAGGGTTTCTGGGATAATGCTGTTGATGTGAGCCATGACCAGCCTTTCAAAGCACTTCATGGCTACAGACGTCAGTGCTACGGGTCGGTAGTCATTTAGGCAGGTTATCTTAGAGTCCTTGGGCACGGGGACTATGGTGGTCTGCTTGAAACATGTTGGTATTACAGACTCAGTCAGGGACATGTTGAAAATGTCAGTGAAGACACTTGCCAGTTGGTCAGCACATGCTCGGAGTACACGTCCTGGTAATCCGTCTGGCCCTGCGGCCTTGTGAATGTTGACCTGCTTAAAAGTCTTACTCACATCGGCTACGGAGAGCGTGATCACATAGTCATCCGGAACAGCTGGTGCTCTCATGCATGCTTCAGTGTTGCTTGCCTCGAAGCGAGCATAGAAGTGGTTTAGCTCGTCTGGTAGGCTTGTGTCACTGGGCAGCTCGCGGCTGTGCTTCCCTTTGTAGTCTGTAATAGTTTTCAAGCCCTGCCACATCCGACGAGCGTCAGAGCCAGTGTAGTACGATTCAATCTTAGACCTGTATTGACTCTTTGCCTGTTTGATGGTTCGTCGGAGGTCATAGCAGGATTTCTTATAAGTGTCCGGGTTAGAGTCCCGTTCCTTGAAAGCGGCAGCTCTACCCTTTAGCTCAGTGCGGATGTTTCCTGTAATCCATGGCTTCTGGTTGGGGTATGTACGTACGGTCACTGTGGGGACGACATCATCGATGCACATATTGATGAAGCCAGTGACTGATGTGGTGTACTCCTCAATGCTGTCTGAAGAATCCCGGAACATGTTCCAGTCTGTGCTAGCAAAACAGTCCTGTAGCTTAGCATCTGCGTCATCTGACCACTTTTTTATTAACCGAGTCACTGGTGCTTCCTGCTTTAGTTTTTGCTTATAAGCAGGAATCAGGAGGATAGAGTTATGGTCAGATTTGCCAAATGGAGGGCGAGGGAGAGCTTTGTATGCGTCTCTGTGTGTGGAGTAAAGGTGGTCTAGAGTTTTTTTCCCTCTGGTTGCACATTTAACATGCTGGTAGAAATTAGGTAGAATGGATTTAAGTTTCCCTGCATTAAAGTCCCCGGCCACTAGGAGCGCTGCATCTGGATGAGCGTTTTCCTGTTGATTAATATAGTGTATAAGAGGTCTATTGTATATAGTGTATAACTCTAGTGTATATAGTGTATAAAAGGTCATTCAATATGTTATGTAGTGATTCCTTTGTTGTTGATGTAAAAAATATTTGTTGGTCTGTGGTGTGTAGTGAGGCACAACCAGACGCTGCACTTACTAATAAGCATGCACCCATTTAAGAAAATGACTGCATGAAGCCAAGATGGCACCAACATACAAGGCAGCTCTGCTTCTAGCTCCTAAGCAACTTTGCAGTATTTTGTTTTTTTGTGTGTTATTTCTTCCATTATTAGCGCAGAACGTTTTCATCTCATATGTATATACTGTATTCTATTCTACTGTATTTTAGTCAATGCCAGACCGACATTGCTCGTCCTAATATTTATATATTTCTTAATTCCATTCTTTTACTTTTAAATTTGTGTATTGCTGTGAATTGTTAGATACTACTGCACTGTTGGAGCTAGGAACACAAGCATTTCACTACACCCACAATAACATCTGCTAAATATGTGTATGTGACCAATACAATTAGATTATATTTGATTTGTAAAAACTGTTAAATCACCGTGGATTGAAGAGGAATTAAAAAATTGTATGGTTGAGAAGGGTGAGGCAAAAGGAATGGCAAATAAATCTGACTGCACAACCGATTGGCAAACATACTGCAAATTGAGAATCATGTGACTAAACTGAATAAAAAGAAGAAACTATACTATGAAACAAAGATAAATGATATAAAGAATGATAGCAAAAAGCTTTGGAGTACCTTAAACGCAGCTCCATCATTCATAGAATCAGATGGCTCATTCATCACAAAATCCACTGATATTGCCAATTACTTCAATTATTTTTTTATTGACAAGATTAGCAAATTTAGGCATGACATGCCAGCAGCAAACGCTGACACTACACATCCAAGTATGACTGATCAAATTATGAAAGACAAGCATTGTAATTTTGAATTCCGTAAAGTGAGTGTGGAAGAAGTGAACAAATGATTGTTGCCTATCAACAATGACAAGCCACCGGGGTCTAACAACTTGGATGGGAAATTACTGAGGATAATAGAAGGCCAATATTGCCACTCATATTTGCCATATCTTCAATTTAAGACTACTAGAAATTGTGTGCCCTCAGGCATGGAAGGAAGCAAAAGTAATTCCGCTACCCATAAATAGTAAAGTCCGCTTTACTGGCTCAAATAGCCGACCAATCAGCCTGCTACCAACCCTTAGTAAAATTCTGTTTGACCAGATACAATGCTATTTTACAGTAAAGAAATTGACAACAGACTTTCAGCATGCTTATAGGGAAGGACATCGAAACAAGCACAGCACTTACACAAATTACTGATGATTGGCTGAGAGAAATTGATGATACATATATTGTGGGAGCTGTTTTGTTAGACTTCAGTGCAGCTTTGACACTTTCGATCATAGTCTGCTGCTGGAAAAATGTATGTGTTATGGCTTCACACCCTCTGCTATATTGTGGATAAAGAGTTACCTGTCTAAAAGAACAAATAGGGTGTTCTTTAATGGAAGCATCTCCAATATAATCCAGGTAGAATCAGGAATTCCCCAGGGCAGCTGTCTAGGCCCCTTACTTTTTTCAATCTTTACTAACGACATGCCACTGGCTTTGAGCCAGTGTGTCTATCTATGCGGATGACTCAACACTATACACGTCAGCTACTACAGCGACTGAAATGTCTGCAACACTTAACAAAGAGCTGCAGTTAATTTCAGAATGGGTGGCAAGGAATACGTTAGTCCTAAATATTTCTAAAACTAAAAGCATTGTATTTGGGACAAATCATTCACTAAACTCTAAACCTCAACGAAATCTTGTAATGAATAATGTGGAAATTGAGCAAGTTGAGGTGACTAAACTGCTTGGAGTAACCTTGGATTGTAAACTGTCATGGTCAAAATATGTTGATTCAACAGTAGCTAAGATGGGGAGAAGTCTGTCCATAATAAAGCACTGCTCTGCCTTCTTAACAACATTATTGTCATGACTTGCCCTCATGGGTTGAGGATCAAACATGCCAACTAGGCAAAGGTTTGAACACCCCCTTTCCTGGGGGCCAGTTTTATGACCGGTCTAAATACCGTGCAGACTTTCTCATCCTTGCCATGAAGTATTGGGAGAAATGACCCCTTTGTTAACAACGGAAGTCTTCCCGCCAAGACTCCAACATCCAAAAGTGGATAATGAAACAATATTCCTACTTAAAATAATGTGGGAAATGGTTGGTGGGGACTTAAAGAACAATCATGTCAAATTCGTTACTATGCTGTGATGTCATTAAAGATGGTGGAACAACATAACTGTATCTCTGGAGGGGTACACTTCCCAGTTATGAGGTTTGCATCTAATTGTTGTATAAAACAAATGATTTAAGTATATAATACTTTTGTGAAGATAACAATGTGAATTTAGCATTCTAGATGAGATTATTGTTTTCCATATTGATTTGTTCTCAGTCAGTGGCCATGCCCAGATGAGCACAAACATGATGGAACGCCCCTTTTACCCCGAGTGCATAAAAAGCCATCTGACAAAATTCACCTCAGACCAGCAGATGTGAAGCGTGAGCAAAACGTTGCAAATGGTTGAATTTCTACCAGACCAGGAAGCCCACGGCTTAAAATGGTTGACACTCTACAAGACCAGCAGACGTGAAGCGTGAGCTAAACGTTACAAAATGGTTTAAAACTACAACTCCATTACCAAAGGAAGACCAAGCATACTACGGTATAAGCCGGATGTTGCAAATGGTTGAATTTCTACAAGACCAAGAAGCGTGAAGCTGAAGCTATACATTACAAAATGGTTAGACCAGAAAGTCCAGAAAACGTGAGACGTTAGTCCACACGTTTGAAATGGAGAAACTCTGAAACTCTCAACCTCTACACGAGGTGAAGAAGAAGACCATGCACTAGACCTTATCATCGCAGTCTGCAGCTGGCATGTATAGTCGTCTAGAGAACTTTCACTACAGACACGAGAGGAGAGGACAATCCCTCTCAGACAACCACTGGTACATCTGAAGTATCCAGTCTAACCACTACTACGACCAGAACCTCTACCAAGGACATTGGAATCTCTGGTGGGCAAACCAGAGTCCTACATCATCAACTCAACTATCGAGGACAGCTACACGTAAATACATGTTGCATTTCTAATCTGAATGAGTGTATTTGGGTGCATAAGTATTACGATTTCTGTCAGCATAGTAACCACGATAGTTTGAATCTCTGTCTCTCCCTTCCACTCTGACCCTCCTTCTACCCAAGCATTCATGCTATTGTTAGTCCAGTCCACTAGGGACCTGTTTTCATTGTATAACGTTAGTAATCAATGACCTGTGTGTGTGTGTTTGTATTGTGTTATTATTTAGTTAGTTAGTAAATAAATAATTAAGCCAATTTATGTATTGCTGATTCATCAATAAGGTTAGGGTTCTTGCAGGTTGATGGATTATGCGACGTTCAGAATGAGACTGTTGAAGTAATTATTTGATAAGTGACTGTTATCGATATATAACATATATATTCTAAGAGTTTAATTCGGGAGATGGTAACTCGTTAAACAACTTCTTCCATGGTGCCCCAAATTCCTAATGAGTTAATTGTTACATGATTCATTTAATCGAGTGACAATTAAACATAGTTAGGTGATTCGATAAATAACAGTCATACATTAAAGTAAGTCACGTCACAACACTATAAACAAGGCAGGTCCTACAGGCCATAGTTTTGTCGCACCTGGACTACTGTTCAGTCGTGTGGTCAGGTGCCACAAAGAGGGACTTATTACAATAGGCTCAGAACAGGGCAGCATGGCTGACCCTTAAATGTATATGGGGAGCTAACATTAATATTATGCATGTCAATCTCTCATGGCTCAAAGTGGAGAAGAGATTGACTTCATCACTACTTGTTTTTTTAAGAAGTGTTGACAAGCTGAATGCACTGAGATATCTGTTTAAACTACAAGCACACAGCTCGGACACCCATGCATACCCCCCAAGAAATGCCACCAGAACAGACTATGGGAGGCGCACAGTACTACATAGAGCCATGACTGCATGGAACTCTATTCCACATCAGGTAACTGATGCAAGCAGTAGAATCAGATTTAAAAAATAGATGAAAATACACCTTATGGAACAGCGGGGACTGTGAAGAGACACACAGACAGGTACACACACACATATATGCACATAAATGCTAGCACTCTATAAACACGTACATTGAAATAACGTTGTATGGTGGTATTATACATTTTGTATTGTAGATACAGTGCATTTGGACCCCTTGACTTTTTCCACATCCCCCCCCCCCCCCCCCCCCCTCATCAATCTACACACAATACCCTATAATGACACAGCAAAAACAGGTTTGTATACATTTTAGCAAATGTATAAAAAAAAAACTGAAATATCACATATACATAAGTATTCAGACTCTTTACACAGTACTTTATTGAAGCACCTTTGGCAGCGATTACAGCCTCGAGTCTTCTTGGGTATGACGCTACAAGCTGGGCACACCTGTATTCAGGGAGTCTCTCCCATTCTTCCTGCAGATCCTCTCAAGCGCTGTCAGGTTGGATGGGGAGCGTCACCGCACAGCTATTTTCAGGTCTCTACAGAGATGTACGATCGGGTTCAAGTCTGGGCTCTGGCTGGGCCACTCAAGGACATTCAGAGACTTGTCTTGAAGCCACTCCTGTGTTGTCTTGGCTTTGTGCTTAGGGTCATTGCCCTGTTGGAAGGTGAAGCTTCGCCCCAGTTTGAGGTCCTGAGTGCTCTGTAGCAGGTTTTCATCAAGGATCTCTCTGTACTTTGCTCCGTTAATCATTTCCTCGATCCTGACTAGTCTCCCAGTCCCTGCAACTGAAAAACATCCCCACAGCATGATGCTGCCACCACCATGCTTCACTGTAGGAATGGTGCCAGGTTTCCTCCATACGTGACGCTTGGCATTCAGGCCAAAGAGTTCAATCTTGGTTTCATCAGACCAGAGAATCTTGTTTATCATGGTCTGAGAGTCCTTTAGGTGCCTTTTGGTAAACTCCAAGCGGGCTGTCATGTGATTCTCCCATCTCCACAGAGGAACTCTGGAGCTCTGTCAGAGTGACCATCGGGTTCTTGGTCACCTCCCTGACTAAGGCCCTTCTCCCCTGATTGCTTAGTCTGGCCAGGCGGCCAGCTCTGGGAAGAGTCTTGGTGGTTCCAAACTCCATCCATTTAAGAATGATGGAGGCCATTGTGTTCTTGGGGACCTTCAATGCTGCAGACATTTTTTGGTGGCCTTGCCCAGATCTGTGCCTCGACACAATCCTGCCTCGGAGCTCTACGGACAATTCCTTCGACCTCATTGCTTGGTTTCTGCTCTGACATGCACTGTCAACTTTGGGACCTTATATAGACAGGTGTGTGCCTTTACAAATCATTTACAATCAATTGAATTTACCACAGGTGGACCCCAATCAAGGATGATCATTGGAAACAGGATGCACCTGAGCTCATTTTCGAATCTCATAGGTATTTCTGTTTTTTAAATTTAATACATTTGCAAACATTTCTAAAAACCTGTTAACGCTTTGACATTATGGGGTATTGTGTGTAGATTGATGAGGATTTTTCTTTTTTTTATTCCATTTTAGAATAAGGCTGTAACGTAACTAAATGTGGAAAAAGTCAAGGGGTCTGAATACTTTCCGAATGCACTGTATGTAGTGGTGTAATTATGTTATATGATGTACTATTTTATCTTTTGTTTTATGTGTAATGTAAGTTTGTTAATGTGTTTGGACCCCGGAAGAGGGGATCCACAATAAAATACAAAATACTGAGTAACCCACACAGACACCAGACAGAAAGAACACAGTCACAGTAACCTTCAAACAGAGAACCAATAACCCAGACAGGCATAGTACAAATCATACATTAAAATACCCAATTTCTACAACAGAGTCTGCTAAGGCAGGGCAAGAGGGACAGAGAGAACACTGTCACTCACCGAGCCAGATAGGCATAGACTGAGATACTATACGCTCAGGATCCTGCATAGAGTGCCAATAACCAACCCAGACAGACACACACGTCATAGTCATATACTCCAGGCATAGGCTGTTGGAGATAAATGCAGGCCCAGGCAGGACAAGAGGACATAGAGAGCTAGACAGACAGACAAACAGACAGACAGACACTGTGAGCCATTACCTATGCCGGTAACCTGGACAAAGGTGGTCATACCAAATAAATACGATACCCCTCACTGAAAGCTACCCCAGCTATTTCCACATACAGTGGGGAAAAAAAGTATTTAGTCAGCCACCAATTGTGCAAGTTCTCCCACTTAAAAAGATGAGAAAGGCCTGTAATTTTCATCATAGGTACACGTCAACTTTGACAGACAAATTGAGGAAAAAAAATCCAGAAAACCACATTGTAGGATTTTTAATGAATTTATTTGCAAATTATGGTGGAAAATAAGTTTTTGGTCACCTACAAACAAGCAAGATTTCTGGCTCTCACAGACCTGTAAATTCTTCTTTAAGAGGCTCCTCTGTCCTCCAATTGTTACCTGTATTAATGTCACCTGTTTGAACTTGTTATCAGTATAAAAGACACCTGTCCACAACCTCAAACAGTCACACTCCAAACTCCACTATGGCCAAGACCAAAGAGCTGTCAAAGGACACCAGAAAAATTGTAGACCTGCACCAGGCTGGGAAGACTGAATCTGCAATAGGTAAGCAGCTTGGTTTGAAGAAATCAACTGTGGGAGCAATTATTAGGAAATGGAAGACATACAAGACCACTGATAATCTCCCTCGATCTGGGGCTCCACACAAGATCTCACCCCGTGGGGTCAAAATGATCACAAGAACGGTGAGCAAATATCCCAGAACCACACGGGGGGACCTAGTGAATGACCTGCAGAGAGCTGGGACCAAAGTAAAAAAGCCTACCATCGGTAACACACTACGCCGCCAGGGACTCAAATCCTGCAGTGCCAGACGTGTCCCCCTGCTTAAGCCAGTACATGTCCAGGCCCGTCTGAAGTTTGCTAGAGTGCATTTGGATGATCCAGAAGAGGATTGGGAGAATGTCATATGGTCAGATGAAACCAAAATATAACTTTTTGGTAAAAACTCAACTCGTCGTGTTTGGAGGACAAAGAATGCTGAGTTGCATCCAAAGAACACCATACCTACTGTGAAGCATGGGGGTGGAAACATCATGCTTTGGGGCTGTTTTTCTGCAAAGGGACCAGGACGACTGATCAGTGTAAAGGAAAGAATGAATGGGGCCATGTATCGTGAGATTTTGAGTGAAAACCTCCTTCCATCAGCAAGGGCATTGAAGATGAAACGTGGCTGGGTCTTTCAGCATGACAATGATCCCAAACACACCGCCCGGGCAACGAAGGAGTGGCTTCGTAAGAAGCATTTCAAGGTCCTGGAGTGGCCTAGCCAGTCTCCAGATCTCAACCCCATAGAAAATCTTTGGAGGGAGTTGAAAGTCCATGTTGCCCAGCGACAGCCCCAAAACATCACTGCTCTAGAGGAGATCTGCATGGAGGAATGGGCCAAAATACCAGCAAACAGTGTGTGAAAACCTTGTGAAGACTTACAGAAAACGTTTGACCTGTGTCATTGCCAACAAAGGGTATATAACAAAGTATTGAGAAACTTTTGTTATTGACCAAATACTTATTTTCCACCATAATTTGCAAATAAATTCATAAAAAATCCTACAATGTGATTTTCTGGATTTCTCATTTTGTCTGTCATAGTTGACGTGTACCTCTGATGAAAATTACAGGCCTCTCTCATCTTTTTAAGTGGGAGAACTTGCACAATTGGTGGCTGACTAAATACTTTTTTTCCCACTGTATATATATATTTTTTTACCACAGCAAAAATATCTAATCTCATACATATTATGCGAATACACACTCAAGCCATTAGCTCAGATTCCTCTCCTCTCCTCTTCTGGGCTGTGTCCCAGTACTGTAGTGCACTATATAGGGCTAACGGTAACATTTGGGACACACCCCTGGTGTTTTCTGATTGTGAGCACCGGTGACCTTGGTGTTAATCAAACAGAGCCAGTGGTATGGGGTCAGAGCTGAACACCTACAGACACCTTCGAACGAGAACGAACGACACTGGCGGCAAGCGCAATCAGTGGCAAGCACCGTCAGAGCTAACGAGCAGCTTAGCGCAAGGAAGAGAGGGAATAGAGAGAGATGAAGATTGAGAGAGAGAGAGAGGGAGAAAGAAAGAGAGCCTTGTGGCTAGGAATTCTAATTAAAGTAGTGTGTTTTTAGTGTTGCATCATGGGACATGAGGCAGCGGCAAACCTCTTTGATTGGATCAATATTTCTCCTCCGCCACGGGGCTCTCTTTGCCGGCAAATGTATCTGAATTCATTTGAAGGCAGATGAGCCAGAGCTTAGTAGATAGTAACCACTTTCCTGTCTCCCATGAAGAATGTTAGCTTGCATCCCAAATGGCACCCTATTCCCTTTATCGTGCACTACTTTTGAGTAGGTGAGCAGTAGTGCAGTATATAGAGAATAGGGTGCCATTTGAGACGTATACACAGCTTTGCAAGTACTCCTCAAGGGTAAACAGAACAATGTTAAAAACATTTTACCTTATTGACCTTTTCTCATCAAAATCGCGCAATGTCATATTGAACTATTTTGCTCCCAGAGTGCATTGAAACTTGGTTCAATTGTCTTTTAATGACACACTCAAATCGTTTGTGTATAAAACTATATGCGTTCAAATTACTGATAACTACTCTGAATGCGCATCTGAATGTTGGTCAAGGCAAATCTTTGTGAAAGATTTTTTCCCAGATGATAATAGACAGCCTAATGTGGAGCTGTTTTTCTTTTGCGGTATAGGTTAGGCCTTGAACACTTCGTCAATGAATGCAATCAATTCAACATGGGTAGTAATAAAACAGTTAAATATAGGATGAATTGAACTAAATAAATTAAAATCTATTGAATAAAATAATCACGCAAAAGCCGCCATGTTATGAAAAGAGAAAACTATGGAATACACATAGAAAAAGAAAAGAAAACAGTAATAGATGATTGGCCTTCCCTGAGCTACAAACCCCATTCTGAATGAAGGATAAGGACAAAATAATAATTTAAGGACATAGAAGAGACACAATTACTTTTATTTACCCCTAGTTGCCTTCTAAATAGGACATTATGAGAATTTGGTCATAGCCATAGAAGGGTATTATACTGTTGTGCTGAGTCACATTCTGCACACTTCCTGGTTGTTGTCCAATAGGCTCCTTTGGTTTGGAGGCTGGTGGCTCTGGCCCTACGGCTTTAATCCCCTTGTATCATAGTAATAAACTTTACTATTCAATTATAGCCTCTTGAAGGACAGGGACAGATCCTTATGGATCAAGACAATTACAGGAAGCAAAAGAGAGACAAAACATAGTGTTAGTGCATCACTTTAATGTCGTAGAGTTTGGGGGTTATAATGAAGAAAACTTTTACCTGGTTGTAAGCAGACATCTCTATAACTAGAAACCAGTCAATATTTGCCGACTGTGTATGATGGTTCACTGACCTAGGTCCAAATAGTGGAAAGAACATTGTCAAAACATATATAGTAAATTAGAAATAGTTTGGAATTGAAAATGGGGCATTCCATGAATAGTGTCGCTTTTCCTCACAGTGGCACATACTCTCTAAACCGTATCAATCTTTCTTGAGCCGGTAGCTCAGCAGTCGTTTGCCTTGTATTCCATTGCGAGCCTGGTTTGATCTCTGCATTATTGGAGGGAATCAATGGACGTGAAGCAACACATTTCAAATGAGCGGGACCAAGGAAGGAAGCCAAGGGGAAATACACAGCGCTTTTTCGACTTTTCACACCTCCGATTTCCAATTTGCTGAGCAATAAGGTGAAATGAAAAAGAATCCTCGCCAAGTGAATGTAATTCAAATCTTGACAAAGACATGTTGTAAATGTCTATTAGGTGCCTTGCAATGTTCAAACGATGATAGCGAGGGTGTCTCAAGGTCTCGGGGTAGCTAGATCTCTCGACTGAAAACAATGAAAATAAAAAAGGAGGGAAAACAGAAAAGGAGAACAAGGAGAAGTCTCGTTCTGCTGTCAAGTGCCTCTGGGGTTAGCTGCTCTAGCTGCCTAGCTTCTGTGTGTTCGAAATTCATTCCAATCTATTCTGCCAAATGTATTACCTGGGCTTGGCTTCAAAACACAAATACTACTACTTCCTTTCGCAGTGCCGAGTTATGTTTTTGAGGCCTTTGAGAATAACAGAGACCATATCAGTTCCAGAGCCCCAGTGAGGGAATAGAACTCTATATCTTATCCTCTTAAAATAATCAAAGTAATGACAAATCAGCTCATAGTAGTAGAAAAGACCGGAAATGACAACGCTAATTGCGTGTCTTTATAGTCTTCTACTCTATATCCTATCAAACCGATGGCGATGTGTATCAATTTCCCTGTCTGCTTATTCCATGTCATTAATCTAGAAAGCACCTCCTATTGGCTCTTGATTTATTAGCCCATTAGCGGCTCAATTTGATAGCCTGTTAATGCTAGTCATCCTGCAACACTCTCAGAGTGGGAGCCATCCGTATGCATCTGCGTCTCTGACATCGACTCATTAGGCCTGAGCACTGATTGAGTTGCACTTGATTATATCTGAGAGGTTGTTAGTCGAATAACAATGACTAAACGGGAGCCATTGATTGGGCGGAAACTTGCGGGTGCTAATGCATTTTAGGGATAAAACATCACTGTGAGTGTGTGTGACTGTGATGCCATCATAGCTAGACTTAAGGGTACACTTTGTGCTCTATGACATGGGGAAGTATTGCTACTCCATTAGAGAAAGCCTTGGAAGAGAATCAGCACACCCACACCAGATCCTCTTATTCAAGAGATAAGAGGAATGATGAGTCTCCACCATTACTAAGGCTGAAGTACACTTCAATAATCAGGAAATGGAAAAACCATCAAAGACTATTAAGGAGTCTGCAACAATAATGTTGTTTTAAACTAGAGTGTTGTCTGGAGCAACATATATGTTGTAAATCATTCTTCTCGTGCTATTTCAAGCAAACTAAGAAGTGTATAACTTTGCACTTTAATGCTTGAATTGCATGTACTATAATATCTACTCTATAATGTCATTTTAAACATTCTCCTTGCAGTTACGAGACAAAATTACCTTGACCAAAAGTTTAGCCCTCCTTTCACTCTTTATCCCAGTGCTTTTACAGTGTTCCATTTATACTGTCTACTACATCTCTTCCACATCCAAGACCAAAGGTCACAGAGACATTAGACACAGATATCCAGGCACTTTCTCTCCTTAACCACTCTCCAACAATTCGGCAAGAGCGATGACTCACGAAAAGGACCCGAGAACTGGCCTGCACACAACTCCAAAACGGCGAGCCCAAACGGAGCGTTACCACCGAACACGCTTTTAAAGAGCAAAGTACCCTCGTTGCCGCTAGGGTTGTGGAACTAAATGGGTCCGACCATTTGGGCCCGACGGTGTGGTGATTGCTGTAAAGCACAGATAAAAGTGTTCCTGGGAAAGGCCTAGAATCAGCCACTCGTTAAATCACACGGCTCAAATGACTCAAAATGACCGCATAAATGGGATGCCTGACGACCGAACGACTGTTATCATAGTGACTTGACATGGTCTGTCCTTTCGGAGAGTTTCTGTCATATTCAGAGGCTCCACCAGGGATTATTGCGTAGAAATGTTAGAGAAAGTACTTAAGGGTCCCTTAGGGGTCATGCTAATCCGTTCCCTCTGTCTTTTTATCTGTTCCCTCATATTTGTATTAATTCCCTCAGATTTTTTTGCCATTCCCCCTGATAAAATAAAATAATCTGTTCCCTACTATTTTTTATTGGTTCCCTCTTCTCTTTATGTAGGCTACCATGACGGTCCCACTTCGCCGATAACATATTGCAGCCTAAATGCTTAAAATGGTGGTGATCAATGACCATTCAATAGCTTATATTCATATGCCTCTGAATCATAAGGGCATATTAGTAACGGCGTTTAAAACCACTCAAGGTGCAAATATGCTGCAATGATGCACTCTCATCCCTAGGCAGGAATTCCGTCTGGCTCTGCTTGATGAAAGTATTCAGACCCCTTGACTTTTTCCACATTTTGTTATGTTACAGCTTTATTCTGAAATTGATTAAATTGTTTTTTTCACTCATCAATCTACACACAATACCCAATAATGACAAAGCAAAAACTGGTTTTTAGATTTGTTTGCTAATTTATTTAAAATTTTTGGGAAACGGGCTGCCATTTGCCTTTTACTGAGGAGTGGTTTCCGTCTGGCCACTCTACCATAAAGGCCTGATTAGTGGAGTGCTGCAGAGATAGTTGTCCTTCTGGAAGGTTCTCCCATCTCCACAGAGGAACTATAGAGCTCTGTCAGAGTGACCATTGGGTTCTTGGTCACCTCCCTGACCAAGGCCCTTCTCCCTCGATTGCTCAGTTTGGCCGAGTGGCCAGCTCTAGGGAGAGTCTTGGTGGTTCCAAACTTCTTCCAATTAAGAATGATGGAGGCCACTGTGTTCTTGGGGACGTTCAATGCTGCAGAAATCTTTTGGTACCCTTCCCCAGATCTGTGCCTCGACACAATCCTGTCTCAGAGCTCTACGGACAATTCCTTCAACCTCATGGCTTGGTTTTGCTCTGACATGCACTGTCAACTGTGGGACCTTATATAGACAGGTGTGTGCCTTTTCAAATCATGTCCAATCAATTGAATTTACCACAGGTGGACTCCAAGTTGTAGAAACATTTAAGGATGATCAATGGAAACAGGATGCTCCTGACCTCAATTTCAAGTTTCATAGCAAAGGGTATTTCTGTTTTTTGTAGATTGCAAAAAATATATATTTTTTAATCAATTTTAGAATAAGGCTGTAACGTAACAAAATGTGGAAAAAGTCAAGGGGTCTGAATACTTTCCGAAGGCACTGTATATTCCGGAGCAGTTTTTTAGCTACCTACCCTAGCCTGGAAATTAGCTCATTTCGAGGTGAATGTATTGTCATCACAAAAAAGCAAATAGCTATCAGTTTTAGTTATGAACATAGAGCCATCTATCTGTGCCTGGTTGTCTACGTCACACAAGATGTTCACCTGCCTAGCGCAGGGATGAGAGTGCATAATTGCACCTGTTAACACCGAAGCCTCTTGGAAATGATGCACAATAAATGTGCAAGCCTTTCCTTTCTGTCTCCGATGAGTCACATGTACAACTGTAAACTACATAAACACATACAGGTGCTTGGATGCACCACGTTTTGCTGGACGTATATGACCCTAACTTGAAGCACGAGGGGTACGCGCCCAAAATTGACAAATGTTCATGTTGTCCAAGTTACATAAATCTGAGTTTGCACAAAGTGAGCCTATTTGGTTTGCATTGTAAACATACAGTTGAAGTCGGAAGTTTACATACACTTAGGTTGGAGTCATTAAAACTAGTTTTTCAAACAATCCACACATTTCTTGTTAACAAACTATAGTTTTGGCAAGTCGGTTAGGACATCTACTTTGTGCATGACACAAGTAATTTTTCCAACAATTGTTTACAGACAGATTATTTCACTTATAATTCACTGTATCA